TGGGCAGCTGCACCTATGGTAGAAATGGCAGAAAGAGCAGCAGCCCTGGTGTTCAAACGGGTTGCTAGGATACCATGGAGCCCCTCCATTGCTAGGCAGACAGAAAAAAGAAAAATGTTTCCATATGCCTTATAATCTGCAAACAGCAACAATAAAAACATCGTCTGCCTTCTTCTACCCTTTCCCATTGGGAATACAAACCCAACTCTTTAGTGAAGTAAAAAGTAGTGGGGCTTGAAAAGGGGGCCCAGTAGAGCAAGGAAGCTGGTCATTTATAGTGTCAGGCAATCCCTTGAGCTACTCTATTTTAAGGTATTTTTGTCAGTATTTTTATTATAAGCCCCCTGTTAGGGGCACACAACTTGACTGTGCTTCAAACACCCTAACAAAGTTTTTGCAATCTGCTGTCATACCTTTTTTATATAAGCCGTCCAAAACTTCAAATTTACTGCATAGACTGCCATGTTCAATTAACAAGCAAACTTAAATAGAAAAGCCTATTAGAATAACATTAAGTTGTAATTTAACACCTCCCCACAAACAAGAAAAATGAATTTCAAAAACCAACATCAGCTTCACTTCTCTTGTCCCATTCGCCTGGGTATGTGAGGAGCCTGCTATGCTAGTCTGTGGCATAAAATTAGATTTTTTTCCATGAGAGCATTTTCAAGGGAGTGGAAAACGGAACTTGCTTTTGTGAAAGAGTGGAACTGGGTTTCTTTAAGAATTTTAATCACCTGCTGCTTAGTTACATTAAATGCCCTTACCGCGTTGGAATAGTTATGGTTATTAATCAGTGCTGCGCTGCTGAGGGACGGAGGATTGGACTGACATTCTGAGATTCAGAGCTTTACTTATGGGTAACTATTAGTTCTCCACGTAAAACATACACACATACACACACACGATTCTTGATTATTCTAAAAACAAGCAGAAATGTCCTTTCCCCTACTTTCTAAAATAGAAACTAAGATTGTCATTCTCTCCAGCCTAAACTTGCTTTTCCTCAATTCCCACTGTGGTATGGTGTTCTGGTACAGCCATTAGTTGCTGTCCTTCCTCAGATGGACCCTCTGCTTTCTTTTGCTGCCTGTCCCTTTGCTGATGGCTTTCCCCATCCCCATCTCACCCCTCTCATCCCATCACCACTAAATGATGGTCATCCTCCAAATACTACTTACTTTAAATACCTCCACTTCCATTAAGACTTTCTGATACCACAAAATTAAATGAGCTCAATCATATTTTACCAACTGTCTTAAGTATCTCCTCTGTGACTTGCCTCACTCTACTTTCTAGAATATTTACTTATGCAGGACTGTTAGCCACTTGTTAACCCCTTGATGGTAGGACCTGTATAACTCTCACCCCTAATGCCTGACTATAGCTTACACATGGCAGATATCCCATAAAAGTATTGAACTGAGCTGTAGGGTACATTTTAAACTTTATTGTTGCCTTTGATATTATGCCATCTATGATCACACTAAAATTCTAGAATTCTCTCAACTTCCTACAGAATTTAACATACAGCCTGTACAAAGATTCCATTTCTCTTGAGATGTACTAGTGTTAAGGTTTAAAAGTTCATAAAGGATCTTGTTAAACTTAATGCCTCCTTAAAAATTAATATATATATATATATATATATATATATATATATATTTCTTTTTAGCCTCAGCTCTTCCAAAGTACTTCACAATCAAAAAGTTTTGAAACATAACAAAATATGTCAAAATTCCCTGAAATTCAGCTACCTCTAAGGGGAAAAGCAATAGCTTAACAAGCATGCAGAGACACTAACAACTTTTGATAGGAACTCAAATCTATATAGCCCAACTGAAATGACATGAAACCCTGTGACAGCAAAACAGAAAGGATTGGGGAATATTTACAATACGTAAAGGGTTTAGATCAAAATATCAGAGTTTCACTCTTAAAAGAAAAATAGAATCAATTTTCAGGAATGAAATGCCATGAAATAAAATTACTTTAAAAGCCAATAAGAATTGTTTATATATATATATATATATATATATATATATATATATGACCAACAGGCTACCTGATCTCATAAAATGGATTTTTTTTTCATTTTTAAGGGTTTATTTGCTCAATCTACTTCAAAACATACAGTCTAATAGTTTACACTCTCAACTAGTTATTTTGTAGCAGTGGAATACAGATTTCAATTTGCTACATCAGTTCTTTGCCTCCCATTCATAACAACAAAAGGGCTTAAGCTTTTTTTGTTTGTATACAGGTGTGAAAGAGACAAAGCACTCGCCTGGCCTCACAGGTGCAACAGAAGAACCCTGGCTATCTCCTGTAATCTGCCTGAGCCTTCCCTCCAGTTCCCAGTTTAAAAGTAAAATTCCAAACCAAAAATGTTAAGATGACTTAAGTTAATAAGTTAATTTTCATTTTACAGTATTTTTCAAATGACCTCAAACCACTAAAAAACAAAAGTTTCAAAAATTACCATCCTCAAAAGGCAACCTCAGTAAGCAAAAAGTAAACAAATATATTTGCATACATAAGATAATTGAGCAGAATGTTAACTGGGCACTTACCTACATCTAATGGAAAGAGAACAGAAAACTAATATGAATTTGAAATCAATTTTATGCTATTTAGATGGTTTGATTTTAACTGGAACTCACAATAATCTGTGTGTGAGTTTAAGAAAGATGACTAAATTTAAGTTGCACTAAAGATGAAATATGAAGACAAACACTTGTTGACAGTAAGTCAGTATAATCAATTTTTTATAGTGAAATAAACTGAAATTCAAACAAGGCTTCTTTGGCAAATTTTGCTAATTTTTTTGTGGAGCTATCTTGCACAATCATTCAAATGACATGAGAATAATAATTTTGCACTTCTCTTTCTCTTAAGAGAGGTACACTCTACCACTTAAGCCAATTTTATTCTAGTTTTCTTTATGTAAGTGTGAAAAAAGAACAGATGTTTTTCCAAAATTATTTAAGCTTGGAAAACATTCTATCATTTTCTTCAGTATAACCCTTCAGAATCACCAAAACCATCATGGTGATACCTTAATAGCGGACTTCTTCAAAGCAGAAGTAATTAAATAAATATCAGAACGCACAGAATTGCTGGATAAAATGTTTATTGTAACAGAATTATATGCCACACTCATTTCGTTTTCCACCATGGACTTTTTAAAAAATCTAGTTGTTCTTCGTGTCAAGCACTAAGAGACTTCTAAAACTTCAGCTCCTCCCCTACAGCTTAGATTCCTCTAGATCTTGCCTGACACAATGGTGAACTGGAGTTATCAGCTGGCTGGATCATGCTTCATTATAAAACCTATTGAAGTGGTTTTTTTACAAAAGCGGAGTTTGCTCTGTGTTACTCCAACATCCTGCAGATACTAAAGTGAGATCCTACGGAATGCTTAAAGATGCAGAGAGCTGTCTTTGAGTTATTTTTTTTCATTATGCAAAACTTGGCCCAGGAGAGATGGCCATGTACCTCGTTAGCTAAAACAGGCAAGCATGTCAGGACTGCAAATTAATTTACCAGAGAAAGTTGGAGTGAATACAGACCATTCAGGTTTCTAAGGCAAATCTAAGTCTACTGAACTATTAGGCAACTTGGTGAGGTCAGAATCTCAGAAATGTTTATTCGTATTGTCTCTTCCCCGCTCTTTCACAAAATATAAACTCCTCATGAAGCTAAACCTGCATGAGGAACAACATATGTTCTTTGCGAACCAACAAGTATAGGTACAAGCCTGTTTTCAAAAGCGGAATTACTGCGTACTCTCAAGCTCCCCCAAATCCAATAAACACAAAAGGATATAATCCTGTATTTACTCTCTCTTATATTAGTTCCTTGTTTTTATGAAGGGAAGGGTTCCAGGGGACCTTGTATTATTATGTAACATGGCCATCCAGCCAATGTGATGTAGTTTCGAATAGAATATCAAAATCCTTCACTTTATCAATTATGCCACTATCTGTTAATTAAAGATACCATTCATGTGGATGTTCGTTCTATATTAACATCATGTTCCTGCCACTTTACATAAGAACTCTGAGTTGAGTAGTGTATAACAAGTTTCATTCAGTTTTCCCACCCCAGTTGTGAAGCCCACTGACATCAGCACTACACAGTTGTCTAAAATGCTAGAACAATGCTGGAGTGGTTGCATCAGAAGCCAAGAGTAAGGCAAACAGGGCATCTACACTGTCAATACAGGTAAGTGCACTTCTGTATATTTGAACCTGGAAACATGCAACCCCCTTGGGAGAAAGAAGTGCCCCAGGAGTAACCTAATGCAAATTCCTTAAGGAAAATAAGCAATACTCTCCCAATAGTCTTTGTTATGGAAAAAAGACTAGGCTTCCATTTGTGGATTGCAAATGCCACCCAATTCAGAAAATCAAAAAAAAAACCTGCCTTTTTATATGCACATTTCCTTATTTTTGACACTTTGATGATGACAGAACATCAGGGTTGAAGCTAGGTACCGGTGTGAACTGCCAGCATGTAGAGCAATCCGGAAGAGCCACAAAAGCATAGAAAGTAAGGGTGATATCAGACGCATTTCATTTCAAGTCTGACGAGCCTGCATTTAGGGTTTTCCGGCTGGGCAGCTATGCCAAGGCATTTGGGAGATGGGGCTTTTTATTCAGCTTCTCACACTCACTCATACACACACAGCTGGACACACACCTGGGCACGTTCAAACTCTACATACACAGTGGGTGGCATCTAGGAACGTATATGGATCCATTTTTTAAAAAATAGCTTGACATCTGACAAAGACACGAAGGCAACGTAGATGCAGTGTCTGGCTCTAGAAACGTGCACGTCCCCGCAAGTGGTGCCCGTTAAAATGAAACAGTTCTGAGGATGAGGACAGACAAGGCAAGCGGGCGGGGCGGGAGGGGGGGCGACAGACAACACAGAGACCCGCAGCTCCCCACCAACAGGGTGCCCCGTGGCCCCAGCGCATAACCCCTGCTTACTGTGGGCTCTTGGGGTAGAAGGGCAGGGTCACATGGCTGAGATCCTGGATGTCGAAAGCGGTGGGCTCGGCGGAGATCGCCTGCCGCTTGGTGCGCGGCTCGCCCTGCAAGGTGCTCGCGCTCTGCTTCTGCGCCTGCTGGGTGGCGGGCCGGATCACCGAGCGGTACTTGTCCAGCTCGTTCTGCAGCTTCTGGATCAGTTCGTCCTTCTGATCCAACTCCAGCTCCAGCTCGTCGATGAGAGCATCCCGCTGCCTGAGCTCCTCGATCTTCTCCTGGAGCGCGTACTGTAAATCCCGCAGGGTGCCCATGCTCCTCCGGGCTGCCGGGGGCTCCTTCCTGCCGCTGCTCCGCGTCTTGGGGCTTCCTCCCCTCTCCGATCAACTTTCCCCAAAGTCGCCGCTGCCTCCGGAGTGCAAAAGCTTCCTACTTGAGACCAAAGCCAGCCCTGGCTTCTGAGCATGCCCAGTCCGCCGGCCCCAGCCACGGAGAGTTTCAGGGCAGATTCCACTTCTTGGGGCTGACGGAGAGGCTGAGTGTAGGGATGAGCAAAACAGCAGGTCCAACCCGGGATTAAACCTGACACACGGTGGGCGCCGCAGCGCGCGGGGGAGAAGAGCAGGCAGCACGGTGGCAGGGAAGCAGGGAGAAGGGGACGTGGATGAGGCTCCGAGGCAGTGGTTGGTCTGTTCGGGTCACTCGCGCCAGGCGCCAGAGGAAGCCAGCGGTGCGTGTGGGGAGCCTGATAACCCTCTGGGGCGCGCCTGGAGATGAGCAGGCGGAGCGAGGCGGGAGCGCCACTTTGGGGGTGGGGAGGTGAGAGGGGAAGGACAGCCAGGAGCCCGTGCAAACTGGAGGGGGTGGGGGGTCAGCCCTCTCCAGAGCAGACCGGTCTTGAGGACGACGGGCTACAGTCCTGGCGAGTTAAGAGGGCAGAACACACTCTGCATCCTAAACGCTCTGAGTTCTGGAGGGATTTTGACCGCCAGCCTCAGCACGAACCGCTCCAGAGCCGTGTGGCTGAGCTCTCCCTTCGCCCAGGCCACCTTTCCCAGCGGGAGTGCCGCACACAGGTGGCTAACGCTTGACAAGAAACTTGCCTCTCAGGAGTGAGAGCCAGTCCATGCCTGGGAGGGATTCCCACTAACGTCCAGGTGCCTTTGGCGAAGGGAGGTGGGGGGCGGGGCTGACTTTTTCTCCCTAAGCATTGCCACTTTCTGCAGGTTCCTGCTAATCACTCCCCTTTCACCCCTCACCCCTCCAAACTTATGTTGATGAACTCTTTTTGAGGTCAAGGCCAAAATGGGTTTGGGCCCTAGAAGACTACTCAGCTTCTCCACTGCCTTGAGCTAGTGTCTGCAGAATTGCTCATAGATGGGCCTTGCTACTTCGATTTGCTTAATTGGGGGGTGGGGGTGGGGGGGAATCATTACTGAGCTTCAAAAGGTTCATCTAAAGTTGAACTTCCACTTGAACGGAAAGACACAAACTTTGAAAAAGAAGATCATAAAGAGAAGGGGGAACCCAGCTGGGCTGTGATAAATTGTACACTATACCACCCCACCTCTATCTACCCCTACCCCATCCCTGCCCAGTCTTATTTCCAAAAATGATAACAATTAGGTAGCATCCTTTTTTGCCAAGGGTAATTCTGCCATCATTGGAACACATGTTTAGAACATGTTTTAGAACCTCCAAATATTTACTTTATACTTAACTAAATTCCTAATATTTATCTAAATTTTTACCAACTCATCCCTTTTAAAGTATTTTTATTAGCAGCCCTCTAATTACTATTCTTGGGCACTCAGTATTATAAACCTCAATGCTCGATGTGACCATTCCTTAACCCTAAAACAAAGTAGGCAGACAATAGTTTAAAACTGAATTGGAATCCAGAACTATTCACTGGAATCTAAACTTAGCCAAGGGCATATATTAGCCTCAAAACAAACTTGCTTACTTTTACTTTTGAATACACTTTTCTATCTAAGCTGAGAAAGAGAGAGAAAGAAAGAAAGAACGAAAGAAAGAAAGAAAGAAAAGAAGAAGGAAGGAAGAAGAAGGGGAGGGAAGAAACAGCTAGCCACAGGCAAGGTAGCAAGCTTTTTTATTTAAAGTGTATTTGTTTGTAATTAGAGGCATAAATGACAAAGGATATATAATCTTAAATATTCTCCCACACAGATTATGATTTAATTCAGATCATACAGATGACATAAGACACTTAATTTTTCTGCTGTCCAACATGGACATGTAATATATAAAGTGGATAATTCTCAAAACATTTTCATTTGTAATGAACAAAACATGAATAACTTACAAATACTGATAGCAGGAAATAATAGTTCTGAATTATTGTTATCTTAATTAAAA